TTGGTTTTTAAAATCTCCAAAATAGATTTTGCTCTATTTCTCCCAATATCAACTAGGTACGCACAGGATTTGTTTCCTCTAATATTCTAGCTGACAAATTTTCATAAAATGTATTAAATAGCCACCAATAGAGTTACTTTGAATGTTAGTCAAAATGTCATCAATGTGTCCTTAAACTGCAAATATATTGAATTACTAGAAACTAAATAAACTTGTTTACCATTGTCTATGTATAAATTGTCAGTAAACTGTATTCGAAGAACGATGTTCCTATGTGAAAATTAAATACTGAACTCGCTGGAACACTCTTCAACATGCTCATAGTTGATCTATTCATGATGATAAAACGCTGAAATTTTCAAATGTTACTCCAAAATTACATGTACAATCGTTCAATAAATTTGATATCACACTCCCTTATAGAAAGAAGATCCTGTATGTTTTCGAAACAGGAAATGACCCAGATTCCTCATCGCGTGCACATATGCTGCCAGATGTGTGCAGTATTATGCATTGGAAAACAAAAAAACTACTTTTAGTTTTACCAAAAACAAATATTACATGATATTGGTCACTCACAGTAACTTGGAATTGTTAAATTTTGTTGCATCTACCTACCTTATTTTTGTTTTCTATGTTACTGGCAACATTATTTTATTTGAATATTGCGAGACAAGACATACATGTACAGTGCTTAACTACATGTATACATAGGATTGCCATCCAATTTACTATACATGTTTGTGGTGCTGTGATATAATATTGCTTGTCAGTGAAATAACATTCTGTAAAATACTTTATTTTCGCTTGGAATTAATTTTTGCTGAAGGGATAATTAAGTGAAAATAAAATCTAGCGAATATTTCACATTCAACTCTATCAAAAATCAGTGAAAATAAATTCCATACAAAATGCCCAAAAAACCTTTATAAATAAAGTATTTCACAGTTGTTTGCTAAATAACCCAGACACAATATAGTGATTTTTGTGTTTGTGTGCACTACTAACATCATATGCTGCCATTGTATGTCAGCTGATGTTTTTGATAAATATGGGCCTGTATGCGACTGGCGCATATCCACATTTGGATTTGAATGATCTCATCAGTAGGTTAAAATAAAGAATTTTTTTTTAGAATTTTATGATAAAAACTTGCATCAGATTATTGTGGTGTTATTTGTCATACTGTGAAATACCTTTTTTTCGCTTGGAATTCATTTTCACTATTTTTGCTGAAGGAGATATTCTGTGAAAATAAATTCCAGCAAATATACTTTTTTTCCTATATTTTACATTCCACTAGGTGAAAATCAATGAAAAACCATTCCATACAAAACGCCCAAAAAGTCTTTTCAGCGAAAATTAATTCCAGCTCTAAAATAAAGTGTTTTACAGTAGTCACAGTCACCTTACTTTAGAGTGTCAAAGTCAACTTTATCCACAAAATAGTTCCATTTATAGTCTGCTCTTAACATATTCAAAAAAAATTCAAATGTTTTGATCAAAAACTAGTTTAATCTGTTTATCTCGCTAGGGCCTATAGTTTGGTTCAAAATTCAGTGGAAATTACACAAAATTTACCCACATTTTGAAAAAAAATTTGGTTCTTGACAATTGAAAACTGATATAAGTAAACATCTATTACAGTGACCTATGATTCCCTGATACAACTTCTGCTTTTAAATTCAATACAGAAATGCTGTGAATACAATTGGTATCATTATATTAGCAATTTTGTGTACAATTGTCGGTTCTCACAGTGTTGGCAGTTTCTCTGATTGTAGGATAGATATGTGTAGAATTTTCACCCTTATTTCTCTTAGTCTGTGGTGGAAAAATCTGGTCAAGCTGTCGGGGTCTGCTTGTGTGCATGTGTAAAATTGAAAACCATGTAACAATGTGACATTTTATTCTACATTCCATGAATTTCTCCAACAACATAAATTTAGTGCACAACAACACAAATTTTTCCTTTCAGCATTTAAACTTGCCACTGCCTGAAATTTAATAATTTTTAGCGATTGTTCATATTGTAGTGGAAAATCAGAATTTTTGTCAAGACCACTGTAAAGCACTTAAATTTTGTGAGACCCAAACATTTCATTAGCGCCCTAAAGACACAGGGTCACATAAATATCCCTTGCAAAACACATCTACCGTAAAATCTGTATTAGAAGCCGCATCCCTAATAGAAGTCGCACCCATTCTTTTTGAATAATTGAGAACCCAAAATTCATCATTTCTCATATGTGTAGATGCTCTAATAGAAGCCGCATCCCTTCTGTTGCATTGTACCATTTTAATAGAAGCCGCGGTTTCTAATACAGATTTTACAGTAATCGCTAAAATTCCTAACTATGTAAATTTGTGGTTACAATATTTTTCTGCTGTTAAAATACTAATGGATTTAAAGCTTGTGCTATTTCCAGATTAATGTTAAATGAATGGAATTTGAGGTTTTAGATTTCACTAAGAAAATAAGACAAATTCAAAATATCACAACACAATAGAGATTAAAGTTTGTACGACATGTGTGCCTAAGTGGAAATCTGTGACCCCCTATAATACTGGGTACATTTATATTTTTTAGAAATACTATAAATTAATACCAAAGCAGTGTGTGATCTTTGTCTAAGCAGATTTCTGCTTAATATTATGCAAAGCTACAATGACAGTGATATCTCATTACACTCGCCTATACCAGTACACATGATTGGTTGCGAGTCAACATAAACATAATTATTGGTAAATTCTTGAGCACATTTAAACTGAAACAATGAAAAAGGAAACATTTACATATGTACGTTAATATAGTAAATGTAACGTATCAAACGCCACTTAATTCATCTGAGGACTGGATTGCAATTTTTCTAATTCCATATTATCAATTCTGGCACTTACCCCCAAGGTAAATTAAATCTATAAGTACAATGCCTGGTAAGTTGACAATGAACAATTTAGCTAATCTATGTGACAAATTTTAGTTTTTGATGCATTTGTTAATAATCATCACAAATGGAAGGTGTATATACATGTAATGCTTTAGTATAAACCGTTAAATTTTGTCTGTGGATGAAATTTGATGAAAGCTCTTGTGACTCTTAGGAACCCCAGTGAGAATAGTTTCTTGCTAATTTTGTGATTTTTTTTTTTTTTTTTCACCCAACTTCTGATAGTCACGATTAATTTGTCTGTTATGTGGTTAACAGTTTATTTGTAAGTATAGTACACTATGTTGGTGCATTACATAGCTCATAATGAGAATTTGATATCTCTATTTAAATGCATTGCAGATCATTATGTTCCATATCAATATTTGATAAGTGCAACTACCCACACATGTAGTTACAAAGCTTTTGGATTTAAACTTACTTTGTTGCATATTTTGTACCAGACTCTATGATGCCCAAGTTCATGTGAAAATAATCTTTTAAATCTTTTAGCGATGTATAAAACGTGTGCAAAATGCATTATTTACACAGCTGATCACTCTTGAGTTGAATTTTGTAGCATGTAATTTGTCGCAGTCAGCCAGTCGTGCATATATAATGTAAGCTGATGAGGTGAGGTACATGTAGGTGGGGTAGCCTTGTCTAATGTGTATGTTATATATCCATATACATGTACATGTATACACAGCCTTTCAAGTCTTTGTATAGCTATCGGAATGACCAATAATCATTGCGATTCTCAGCCAATAAGATTTTAGCTGGGCAGGTAAATTCAAAAAATGCCTGTATGTGGAATTAAGGCTGTCCACCTGTCCCAGAAAGACAGAATTTTCATGGGACAGGTAAATGTAGAAATTGTCTGTCCATGTGGCTCTGTGAATAAGGACATCGATTTTTTACAAACTGACCATGTACTGTAAAATCTGTATTAGAAGCCACAACTTCTATTAAAATGGTACAATGCAACAGAGGGGATGCGGCTTCCATTGGAAGCATCTACACATATGAGAAATGGTGAATTTTTGGTTCTCAATTGTTCAAAAAGAATGGGTGCGACTTTTATTAGAGATGCGGCTTCTAATAGAGATGCGGCTTCTAATAGAGATTTTACGGTAGGTCCCAAGCTTTTCCCAACGTTCAGAAACTCGATATCCGAATTTGTAAGAATTATGAGATGAGCCCAGAATTTATTATTTTTATCACACACACACTTGCCTATGCTGTAGATGTAATTTTACCCGCAACTTGATTAATGCATTAAACATATTCTGTGTGTAAACTATCTCAGTCTATGATTCTGGTACATGTACCTGCATTATGTCTAATCCATTGAGTATGTGGATTATATTATAGTACTTACTGATACTGTAATTTTATCCCTGTACATGTATGTATTCTGGATGTTTTTTGTCTGTGTATTATGGTATGCAGGTAGGAGTAGTCTTCTTACTTTCTAGATCTACTGTAAATTACTTTATTTTAGCTAGAATTAATTTTCGCTGAAAAGACGTTTTGAGTGTTTTGTATGGAATTTATTTTCACTGATTTTTAACAAGTTGAATGTATAATATAGAAAAAAAGTATATTCACTGGATTTTATTTTCACTGAATCATTCCTTCAGTGAAAATTAATTCCAACGAAAATAAATTATTTTATAGTACATGGATAAATGCAGACAAATAATACATACATTTGTTGTCATGCATCAGGTTGTATGAAACAAACTCAAAAAGTACCCAATAAAATGTTTATTAAAATAAAAGTTTTGCATTTCTTGCATCCCATTAATGATACTACACATAATACATGTAGAGGCAATTTGTCACAGACTGTATGGCCATCTTCCCATCATAATAGCAATATGTGTAATCCCAGTGTCTACCAAAGTTTGCATTGAGTCAGTGACTTTAACCTCTTCTGTGTTTCAATATAGCATACTCTGTCGGGATTTGGGTTCATTCCAGTTTTTTCAACTACAGAGTTCCGTTTAATCACAGGAATGAACATTTCACTTTATCTGACTATTTATTTTTTGAATTTGTTTTCAGTGGAAGCCAGTAATGGTGATAATTCGGGTACCATGAGTGCACTTGGCTCGAGTTTAGACAAACTTAATGAAGATTTAGACACATTCAAAAATGAAGATAAAGACAAAATAAACAAATTACATAGTGATGTAAACGATATTTTATCTCAGGTAAGAAGCTGTACAATGCTTTAGTAATAATACCAGGCAGCAAATAGTGTTCTTTTCATTACATACCAACAGATGTTGGGAAATTTACAAGGCCTATGATTCCCTGGAAATTATCACATCCATACTTCCTCACTGTGATGTACTGGCATTATTGAACAGGGTATCTGCATAAATATGTTGTTAGGAAATGGGAATTCCAAATATAGAACAACTACACTGTTTCCCAGTTGTAGGATATGTTTGAAAATAAAAATGGAAGAAGCACAATAATAAGATTATATGGATAATAAATACAAAGGATGCTTCCAGACAATACATGGTCACATAGACCTTCATTGCACATTGGTTAATACTTTGGCTTCACTGTTTTTGTACATAGATTACAGTATCGTTGTAATCACCTCAAATTGCATACAATTATAGAAAACATCTACAGCATCATTGCAATCAACAAATCAAGATTTTCTTTTTTTAAATTTTACGTGTGTTCATGTGCTGAAATTCAAAGTTCAAACAATCAGTTCAGTCAGCATCAGTTTTTGTGTTTAACATTGACATTTCCTGGTACGTAGTACATCATATCAATCAAACCTGGCTTATCAATGAAGGAGAATGTTCTCGAACAAGTAATATTTTTGCAAATTTTCTATCCTTAGTAGGTATTTTTCAGGATTTTCACCATTATCCCTTATCCTGCCAACCCTATGTACTTTTACAATGATTTGACCAAATATCGGTAAGGGTTAATAAACTCTCGCAAAGTCCATTTACACACAGAACCCATTAACCAATCGTCTTCCCCTGTCTGATGCATCATTGTTACTATGTTGCTGATCCTACTACTAATTTGCATACTTGTACTGTATGTACTAAGGAGGCTGAAAAGCTGCATGACAAAAAAATATATATATTGAAGTTGTTTTTTTCCATCATATTTTATTATCAACCTCTCCCACCTTGTCTATATATTGTACATGTATAACATAATTTACAATAAAAAAAATATTTTTCTGATAACTTACAGATTGATTATCTTAATAAAACAGCCAAACAATTAACAGATAGTGTAGATTCGGCCAAAGAGTTGCTTGCTGTACCATCTGCTGTGCTCACGTTGCAAAAGGTAAGACCTTGATCTTGTATATCAATAACAATAATACCAAAGTCTCTTCTTTTTTTGGTTCAAAATTAACAATAAATTTACGAAAGACTAGATAATGTTTGAAATGTTGTTTCACAATTATGGCAGGAAAAGTGTTTAATTATTAAAAAGTGTCATGGTAGTGTGTTAAAATGTTGGTGTGAACTAAATTAATACTGTTCACACATTTACGTTGTGTAGGAATAACAAACACAACACAGTGGCTTCAATTATTGATGTATTGCTGTAGGTGGCAACAGATTATCTATGTAGGTTATTTGCTGAGGCATTACATACCGGTAATACACATACACATTAGTCTAAACTAATCATCTAACATAAAAAAAAATGGTACAAAATCACACAAGATTCCAATGTGGAGTTTACTGTAAACATCATTAAACATAGGACTTCTTAACTCATTAGTAAGCTAGATCAAAGAACAGATGTGATGAAGGAAATTTAAATCTGACCTACTCTGTTTTTATAGTGCATGTTATCAGAGACGCACATTTTTTTTTACTCTAATTTTTCAACATGGATCAAATATTTGCCACTAAATGAGAAGTTACAATGTAAAACTGTTATTATACAGGTTGATTTCATGAAAATGCACAAAATGATTACCAAATAAGTAAAGGACATTTTGCATAATGGCAATTGTTATATTTGCTACTGAAATAATAATAATATGTAAATTAATCATATCTGATGTAATAGATAACATCTGTATAAACTTTGTCACGGTTACCTTGAATTATAAATAATTGATATGCATAGACAGCTTTCACTATCACATGGTGTTTTTATTACTTGTATATCGTAAGTCCACCATATTATTCAGTTCACTTGGTATCTCTGCCTTTTTATAATCATTAAAATACTCCTTGAATTTATTTCTATCATACCACCATTTGGCAGCTAGTTGTTTGATTTTGCAGTGGCACAGAATTCTCAAAAAGTTGCTGTTGTTTCATGCACACTTGGCAACCGTATTTGAATCCCATCTCCAATAAACAAATATTTTATTCCGTAGTTATTATGTACTTGATTATTAAATTTACATAGTCCCACCTCTGTCATATATGTAAGTGCTTGCGATTCTAAAAGAGCTAAAACTGTGACCGTCAACAGCTCTACTTTGTCTTGCAATGTAAATTATGAAAAATAGTGAGGGTCGTCACTTAGTCAAGTTATCATTATTCACAACTTTGAACAAACGCCCACTCTCTCTAGCTTTCCATGAAACATTATTGATAATCAAATATGATCTTTTAGTAGTGGATAAGCTGTAACCAACAGGTGTGTCTAAATCATAATTTAAAGCAGGGGAGTCGTCACCTGCATGTGCGCGAGATGTTCATAGCGTGTATTGTTTACAAACAAGCGTCTACCCATGAGCCTTTTAGCGCGTGTGATCGTCGCTTGGGACTTGCGCATGCGCAGGTGACGACCCTCCTGTTTTAATGATCCAGTATTCAATAAATTCAGTTTAGGAGATTATATTTTTGTTTCAACAAGAAGCATAAATAGAGTACTGTAAAAAACATTTATTTTCATTGGCAGTTATTGCCCCTATTTTGATGTCTTTAGCAATTTCACTGGGTTTTAAGTTATTGAACTTGGCAGGAAAACAATGAGTTCTATTGTTATTTTACATATTCATGGGAATTTACTTATCGGGGAAATATAAATTTATCAGACTTTACTTTTACCAAGTTATATTTGTGATATTAATTTCTTAATCACATTTCAGAGTGTGGCAACACAGGGAAGCGATATCAATGGCGTTCAAGAACACGTCACTGGCCTCCAGTCTGCACAAAGACAAACCGAGGATGACGTTGATAAAATCAAATCAGATGTACAGGCTTTAACTGTAAGTACCACATTCCCTGTATTCTCAGTATTTTTAATATGAGCATGCTCTGTTCCGTGCATTATGACATGGGTTGCAGGCAACACAACATCAGAATAATTCATCAGCTAAGGCATGTACACAAAATGGCAGACATATCTCCACTTATGTTATGGTCAATTCCCTGCAATTTTCGTAGTAAACTAGGTCGAGCAAAACATTTGGTACTGCGAACACCAGAATTATCAACTCCAAAAGTTTGATATTTGAAAAGTTACAACATCATGATCCCTCAAGACCTTTAGGATTCTTAGAATTAATGTATAATCTTTGCAATTGTCTGTGAATTATAGGGCTCAGTCGTTTTTTAAGAAGAGCATTTTTACATACATGGTCACAGATGGGCCTTGCTTGAATTATTAAAAAAAATAATGGAGGATATTGATATGTTTGATATCTTTGTATTGTAATAAAATACATATGCAAATTAGATTTATTATGTATCAGCCATGCTTGGTCATTCAGCCGAGGAGATCGTTACATATAAATCCGTTCATGATGAGAAACAGCACATTTCTGAAATAGAATTGATTGAAATTGCATCTAACTACTTGAAAAAGACTACATGATGGTACCTCAATCAATGTTTTACTGTTAATTCTCAACATTTGTGTCAATCATTGATATATTGATTTGTGGGATTCACTGCCGAACCAAAAGGTGTACAGTTAATTAATCTGGTCTGAGCTTACATCACGTGTACATGGACCATTGTCTAGTTACATGTATACCATATTTGCTTTATCAGAAGCGTCTCCACTTCCTATAAACCAAAAATCAAATTATACTGAATCATTAAAATATTACTTTTTTTTGACCATAGAAACACCTCTGTACCGATAATTTATATAATCGTATGCGCTACTAATAGAGCAAATACAGTACCCACAGTAAAAACTTTATGTGATGTGAATTATACCTCCCTAAGTACCGGTTAAAATAACAATCTACTTTTATAAAAATTATTAAGACAAATTTTGTATGTGTGCTAATCCATGGCAATATAGCCTAAGCTGTTGGATTAATAATCTGAGGCAGCTGGTTTCACCATTGATATAAAAACATGATGTCATAGTGCTATTTTTAGAAACTCGCATGCATATGCATATGCACATGTATTTTATATTCCTTGATTTGTTGCTTTTCTTTAGTGCAAATAATATGCGGTGTTCATAGAAATTATAAGATACTAATTATCAACTGACCTGCTGTTACAACTCAAACCAATGCTTACTGCAATGTTACATGGAGTTAAAGAGGGGGAGTCATCATCTGCGCATGCGTCAGATGGCGTGTCATTGTTTACAAACAAGCGTCTACCCAAGAGCCATTGCAATTTTAGCGTGTGTTGTTATCGTCGCTTCGGACTCGATTCCCACGCGTGCGCAGGTGACAACCCTCCCGCTTTAATGTTGTTATTTTTCTTGGCAGAGAGCACCAATGCTTTTACATCAGTTTATTGTGATTTACTGAGGTGACTAATATTCATGACTAGATTACAAAATAATGAGTTTCACATCAATAGAGCATGCATTCAAATTACCACCAATAGCTTGTTGAGAGCAAGAGTCACAGGACTTGTTTATTTCTCTGCAAATAGTGGGTCATTCTTCCTTGCATCATTGCTTGCTTACTCTGTTCCACTGTAACCATGGTAATTGGAACAATGGATTCGATTGCAGGGAGAATTAGACGCTATATGAGTGACAAAAACAAGTCATGCAGCTCTCTTGCTCATTTCTTCTAGGGTCTATTGTGGTTCAGATGCATCTCAAAATGCAATGAGATGCAAGGCAACTTGATTGTTTATCACCAAACCTGGGATGCTCCATCAATTTTTTTTTCTTCAGACAGTCATCGATTTTCACTAAAATATTCACAGCAATTCAGTGCGTGTCCTTCAAATTCAATTGAGAAGTTTCATTGCTTCAACAAATAGTGCCAATTAAAAACAAATTCTGTTTTTCAGTAACCCTATCTACTCGTATGTTTTGAGTGAAAAAGTTTATTTTATGCAAATGAGCAACACATTAATTATTTTTATGCAAATGAGCAAAATATCATTTTTTTTAATGCAAATGAGCACTAAATTATTTATTTTTTATGCAAATTAGCTTTGAGTATTGCACTAGTGTTGTGATTTTTTATACAATTTCCTTTTTTCCTTATACTGAATAACTAGCATACAGTTATATTTAGGAAATTTCTTTAAAACTAATTTGGATGTCATTTTTCACATCTTTAGTTAAACTATGATTATATTCTCAAAAAAACCTAAGAGTTAACTCATTGAGAAAAATTAAAAATATAAAATCCCTCCCTAGTGACACTAAATTTGATTTAATTGTAATATTTGCAAAAAACTTTTTTTTTTTTTTCCTTTTACTGAAATATTTTACCGTGATTATTTGCAGTTTTGAAAGGCAATTATTCTTCTTAAGAATGACTGGATTAATTTCATATTTAATAACATTGGTTTGTTTTTATTTTAGTCTCGCTTGGACAGTTTGGAGCTCTCCAGTATTTCAAACTCTAATGTAGAATCCAATAATGTCCAGAAACCAACTCCACATCCTCCAACAACTTTAGCAAAAATAATTCAAGCTACAACGTTAGCACCGCCGCCGCCAGCAGTAGTTGTGACAGAAGCTGCCAATGCACAGCAAGAAGTGAACATGGAAGTTGATGAGAAAGAGCACATATCCGATGGAAATGATGCAGAAAAGCTAGTTTCACAGCAGGTGAGGGGGATAATTGGAGACATCAGCTTTGAGTATATTATTTTCATTTATTCCCTCCTGTGTGTGTGTGTGTGTGTGTGTGTGTGTGTGTGTGTGTGTGAAGCACACAAGTGAAGTAACGAGTCTTACAGAGTTAACATTGATACTTACATGTGTATTAAAGACTTAGCTTCCAATCACGCAGAATAAATATAGCTCGTAACAGGATCTGACGCCTCGTATGACTACATTACAAATTTCTTTTATTTGATGTGTACCTCCCATTCACATGTACCCTATTCACGCCATTAGTAGAGTATATCCAATATGCTGACATAAATGACATACATGTAGGTGAGTCTATGCTCAAAATAGGTCAAATTGTACTTTGACCTCTGATGTTAACTTTGTCGATCATATGAGTGATTGTCCGTCTCAGTTTTACTTTTTAACTTCTTGAAAACTACAAGTCTGATTGCTTTAATACTTGTTGTATATGTACCTTAGGTTGACCTCTCTTAGATTTATTCACTTCATGACGTTATTTCAAAGTGATATTTTCGGCTTCTTGTTAAAAAGCGCAGGTCTGATTGCTTTGATATTATATCTGTAATTGAAATGTGGAGCTATCTCAGTCGAGAAGCTGCTTGTTTGTTTTTTTTCTTCCACCCCCATCACCACCGTTGTTTCTTCAGAAGCCAGCTGAATCCTTTTAGAATCTCTAATCATCATCACTTATCTGACATTTTATTAATGTAGAAAATAGAAAGAGTTGAAGATGACTTAGAAGACATGAACGTCACCTTAAACAACTTGACTGATGAGTATAACGAGTTATTAAATCGAATAGTAACATTAGAAAATCCACCTACCAGCCAATCCAACGACACAGATCTGGATATCCAACAAATGTACGATGACTTGCATGCATTGGTAAGTTGACCTTTGACATGTGTATGCAGATGAAACAAGTTTGAAATACTGTAAAATACTTTATCTTAGCTGGAATTAATTTTCGCTGAAAAGTTTTTCACTGATTTGTGACAAGTTGAATGTAAAATATAGAAAAACAAGTTATATTTGCTGGATTTTATTTTCACTGAATCATTCCTTCAGCGAAAATAGCGAAAATAAAGTACTTTGCAGTACTCTAGACTGTATGAAATTCAGAATTAAATATTGGATACCTATTAGGATAAGGCTTTGATCAATTATTTATAAGCAACCATAGGCTTATTGAAAGTTCAAAAAAACTATTAAACTGATGTACAAAACTTGTGCATGATGATGGTGTGCATGTCTGTTGCATACTGTACTCGTATTCAGAAACTTTTTTTTCACCTCTCATACTGTAGATGGATCGACTATCTAACAATAATGCAACATCATCGCCATCATCAGACGACAGTGAACTTACTTCTGATACTTTACTTACAATAGAAGATACTGTGCACAATATGACGGTGATAGTAAATGATCTGAAAACTAGGGTTGATGAGGTAATTATAAAACAGTATGCACAAAGGTCTTATGACGATTGTATCAACAAATGCGCTATCCTAATGATAGTGATAATTTAATGTGAGCTAACATCCCAGCATGGCGATGGAAAACATTTTACGCTGTGCGAATGTTTGTCTTGACTAAGGGACGACGTCAAAAGATCGATGTCGGATACAAAACTTAATTCCTTTAGTTTTTTTTCCAAATCCCCCTATCCCCCACTGAAACTTAATTGATAAATATTAATCATGGCGGACAGTAGTATTGCATAGCAGTTGGTTGTCGGGTGGGTGTAAAAAGACTTTACAAATGCACCTCATTTGACGCACAGATTTACACTCAAACCAAACCATTTTTCTGTTGTTTTTTTCCCTTTTCGGTTATTTCTGTCCATGATTGGATAGAAAAAAACGAACTACAAATACTCCAAGATTTTTTTGACTTCATTGAAAAATAAAATCGTTTTTGTAGGATGGAAACTTTTTGAGGTCAAAAACCCCCCACCCCCAAACTAAAGG